AATGCCACTATCATCAGAAAATGATCTGACAGCAAAAGGCAGCAATATTGTCTAGCCCCTCAAAGTGCAGGAGGCCCCAGGTTGCTGGATTAAGTGTGACAGCAGCCACCAGGAGCTGCTGGCACCACAGTAGCACAGCATTTCTCACAGCCCTGAGAAGAGGAGGATCCTTCTTTCCATTTGCACACAAGAAAGTGGAGGCTCCAAAAGGTGTTACCCCTGGCCCTAGGTCACCCAGTGAAGAGCTCCTCTTGGGAACACAGCTGGGGATTGAAGGGCTGTGTCCACTAGGGGTTGTGGGAGGAGGAACCCCAAGTGACAGAGAAGAAACCTAGGCCTGTCTCTACTCCGGGACCCCATAACTTGGAGCCTTCCAGAAACACCAACCCTTCTGTAAAGCCTGTCATTTCCCAGGCAGACCACAGTCTGCAGAAGAATGGATCCCTCGGGGGCCAGTGGGTGGAGGTCAAGAGGGAGGAGGCACCAGAGACAGGCCCAGAGTAGATGTGGCCAGTGATTACAGGACTGGGCTGGGATGTCCCCACCCAGCCCCACCACACAGAACAGAGGAACCTACGTCCAGCAGGATAGGCAAGCTGGCCATGGAGGGGGACAGATGGGGCTAGGGAGTCAGAGGGGAATGCCTTGAAGGTTCCTGGGTCCAGCCCCCAACTCTGGATAGCTGGAGGCTGGGGCTCTAGGGTAGGGAATGACCTAAAGAGGGCTACTCTAGGCCTCCCCCAACCTTCACTGTCATCACCCCAAGCCCCATTTGGCCTCTTCCTCTGCCCCCCTAGCCCTTCCACTGGGCTCTAGGTCCCAGGACCACTGCCCATGGCACGGTGGAGCAGAGAGGCCAGGGAGAACCAAATGGGCAGTTCCCAGTCTCGTGGTCAGGGAGGGGCCTGGGCCTGAGCTAAAGAACTCGGCCAGCCCAGAGCAGCCACAGGCAAAACCGCATGAGAGTTCTGCTTTCGACAAGGAAACAAAAATAGCAGGAGGTTATGGAGAGATGGGGGAGAGAGAAGAGGGAGAGGGGAATAGGAGAGAAGGTAGGAGGGACTGAGGTGCTAAAGACAGAGACAGAGACAGAGACAGAGACAGAGACAGAGACAGAGACGAGAGCTATAAATGATGACAGTGAGAGAGGCTGGGAGGAAGAAAAACAGAATCAGAGAGACAACAGCAGTGAAACAGCAGGACTTTTGAAATAGCTCAGAGCAAGCCAGCTGGTTTTGAAGGGGAGGGAAGCAATGGGGAATGAGCTGTCTGGCAGTCTGGAAGAGCCAAGGGCCCATGCCCATGGGGGTCCAGGCCACAGACATCATGTAGCCCAGACTTGTAGGCAGGCAAGTGGTCACAGCCCAGTGGGCCACCATGAGGACCAGTCCAACACCCTGCAATGCGCACTGCTTGTGAGTACATAGGAAGCTCTTAGGAGCGCACAGAAGTCAGCAAGGGAGGCTGGGCTTTGGCTAGGTTTGGGGAGTCAGTCAGGAAGTACTGGGGCCCACAGAATTCTGGGCAGATGGGCACCTCGCACTATGCTTAGTGATTTGTGCACATTGATGCTTTCTCCTATTACATAGAAACTATTATTATCCCCATTTGACTGATGGGGAAACTGAAAATCAGAGAGGCAAAGAAACATGCCTGAGGCCTCACAGCAAATAAGGGGCAGAAACAGGATTTGATCCCAGGCTACAGCATGTGTGCATCCTTAATGCAGGCCATGTTATCCTGATGCTCAGGCACCCACTCCACCCTATACATAACCCACCCTCATAGCACCCACAAGCTGGTAGGTGAAATGCCACCTGATAAATTGTCCTTGCATAGCCACCTCTAAGGAAAAGCTCTGCCACCTCTTGCAATGGGGTAAGGTATAAGTAGCTGCATGGGCGATTTGAGGCTTCATCATTTTGGAGGAAACACTAGTGAATCCTAGTCCAGTAAGCAAAGATTACGACATAGAGTTTCTGGTTAATAAGTTCTAGCTGGGCTAGTGTTGCAAGACCAGACAGGCAGGAGTCCTGGGCCTTGTCGCTGTTGTCTGCCCTAGCCCATTCAGTCCCTGGGGTGACATAGGCCTTCTGTGGTGACCTGTGCGTCCTTGGGTCAAGGATGTTCCCTCTGGTGGTCAGGCTGAGGGAGGAACATATTGACAAGCCCTTCACAAATAAAAAGCAATTCTGCCTTTCTGACTTTTTTTTTTCTGAGAGAGAAGTAGAGATTTCTCCACTTGTATTTAAAATTCAAACTCCAAACTGAGCTCCACAAACCATGTGGAATGGAAGCCTCCCTGACCAGATGGTTCTTGGGTATAGTCTTGTCAGCTCTGCCTCCAAAGCCATCAAGAAGCCTTCCACTTCTGCTTCCTCCACAGTAGCTAGCCCAGGGCAAGCCCCATCCACTCTGCCTGTGACAATCACCGAAGTCTCCCCACCTGGCTTCCTAATTCTATTAGCTCCACCTTGGTGATCTTAAAACCTGCATGGTTCCCCATTGGCTAACAGTAAATTCTGGTTCCTTCCCAGCTCATCTGCTCAGCTCCAGCCATACTGAACATATAGGTATATTCCCACCTCAGGGCCTTTGTGCTTACTGTTCCTTCTGACTGGGACGCTCCTCCAGGAAACTAATACTTTGGGGCAGATACTTATTGTTCAGGTCTCAACTCAAATGTTCCTTCCACACCAGGGTCTTTGCCAATTTCTTCTTTTAATGTATTCATGGCACTTATTACTGCTAAAATAATCTGATTTATGTGTCGGTTGATGTTCGGCTCCTCCCCTGGCAGGTCAGCTCTGTAAGGAAGGGGACTATCTTGTTTCCTTGTAACCCCTGTACCCACCTTGTGTCAAGGAATATTTATTTAAAGACCGATGACCCGTCATGGCTATAGGGAGAGCACCCCTGCTTCTAGCCTTCCATTCAAGGCCACTTATGACTGGGTAATTTATAGTACTTTTCTGGCTTCCACCCCACCACTCTCTCTCATGAACCCTGAGCTCCACCCACAGCACATCACTTAACATACCAGGCCATTTCACTCTATACTTTTGTGCCATTCCCTCTGCCCAAAATTCCCTTTCTTCATTTTACTACCCGGTAAATTCCTATGTAGCCTTAAAAGCCCAACCCAAACACTTCTGTCCTGTTGAGTGGAAAGCATAAGCATTTAGAATTTAGGTTAGGATTCACCCTGGCCCCACACTCACTAGTTGAGAGACCTTGAGCAAAGCACTTCATTTTTTCTAATCTCTGGTAAGCCATCCATCTTGCCAACATGCCTTATCTCGCAGTACTCTCCGGAGGCCTAGAAAGTACCTCTGAGCTCTGGACACTCTCACAGTACCTGGGAATGGACAGCAGAATTGTGAGCATCTATTGATTTGGCTCCCAGTAGCCTCTCCCCTTCCTTTTGCTAGCCTACCTATTTCCTTCCAGGAACAAACCTGCTTACATTCAGCCTATGTGGTTTTAATAGGCTGCCCTCCTCCCGCAGCTGCTAAGATAGGCATGTGACCAGGCCTGGCCATTCAGAGCATTCCATCCCTTTCCGTCACAGCAATTGTCTCCACAGTGGGCATCATGTGACCCAATCCAGGCCAATGAGATACATCTTTGGGACTCTGGCTGGAACTGTTGGTAAAAGAGCCCTCTGTTTTGGCTAAGGGAGCTAAGAGTGAAACCATCATGGAGAAAAGTCAAACCTAGAGCTGAAGACATGGTTTGAGACCCTGGATCCATCCATGCCTGAAGGCAGCCACATCTGGCTTAAGTGGGCCTGAGTTGGGTTGTCCTTACTGAAACATCATCCTCTGGTGGCTCCCAGTCTCTGATTTCTCTCTTGCCTGTGAGGGACCAGGGGCCAGGATCAGGGCATGTAGAGTAGGGCACTGGGGGAGCCCTGAACAAGGGCATTGAAGAAGAGCCTATGGGATGAGGCCCTGCAGGAGGCTGAGTGGGAGGCAGTAGACACAGGGCAAGCTGCCTGCTGAGGCTTCCTTAGGCTACCTCCAAACGGGCCTTGACCTCTGCACTGAAGGAGGGCACTGAGTCCTCAAGGGGTCCTGCTCAGCTTCAAAGCCAGGCCAATCTCAGTCCTCACCCACCCTCCTCAGCTCTGGTGCCCTGACTCTCAGTAGTCTTTGGGCATTTCTGCATTTATTCTGCACAGGACAAAAATACTGCTATTTCATTATAAATGTTGGATGCCTACAGGGTCACAATACTGCACGACTGCCGGGGTGCTATGACCATCATGGCCCTTGTGCTCGGCCCACGGTTGTCTATATGGACTGGGTCCCTAGGTGCTGTGGTGCCAGAAGGGTTAAAGGGTAGAGAGGGAGAGGGAGGGTGGTTAGGAGAGAGAGCCAGAGTCCCCATCTGAGGTTCCTGAGTCCTTCGCCTTGGAGACTCTTCGGGAAGGATGCTGTGGGAGAAGGTCTCTATTAACACACATTACCCTTGGACTTCAGACAGGAAGCGCTGGGCTCTAAGAGAAGAGACATGGCCTGGAGGAGAGGGAGGGCAGTGATCCAGCTGCGGAAGTGGTGGATTCCCATGAGAACAAGTTCTCTCCTCCCCGCAACCTCTTTCTACACCCTCCCTTCTCTGCCCTCAACCCCAGGGTTCCCTGGAAGTAGACAGAGGCCCAGCCTGGCTGGAGAGAAACACCTATGACTTCCAAAATTAGGAAAGACGCTCAAGCCCTAAGAAGCTAGGAAGGGAATAGAGGATCAGAACTGGGTGGGGGTGGGTGTTGCCGTGGGCTCCAGTACCCCAAACAAAGCCCTGAGGACCAGCGGTGGGAGATCTAATATAGCAGCATGGCAGTGCTCCCTGGGTATGCCTCCCAGATGGATGATGCAGACTGGAAATGAAGGCTTTTAGCACAAAAAATATAAGATCTGTGAGAGCAGGGATATTACAAAGTTTTGTTTCCAGGCCTAGACAGAGGCCTGGCACAAGCAGGAGCCCAGCAAATATGTGGTCAAAGTGTTATACAGAAACAATGTCACAAAGGGTAGAAGGAGGTGGGGGTGACAGTGGAGCTGCCCCTGGGGTGAGGGTGAGGTGCAGCAGTGTCTTAGGCAGCTGTCCCACCTTTCCCCAACATATTCCTCATCCCCAGGACCCTGAGTACCAGGTTAGCATTGATGGTGGAGTCCTGGGGTCTGAGGAGTGCTAGTGTGGGCTGTTCCAGAGACCCCTACACACTGGTAGAGGGACAGCAGGAGCCCCAGGCCTGAGCTGGCAGCCCTACAGGAGCCCCGTGCCAATTTTGGTAACACCTTTTCCTTTGGAGAAGGAGAGACAGTGCCAGACCTGCCTGCCTGGAATAAAGGGCTAAAATTCCTTCTCGGGGTTGGCCCTTAGAGGCCACAAATCATACCCTTTATCTCCTTGGGCCATGCTGCTGGGACACACTCAGAGATGCCGAAGGCCCTATTGAGGCCATTTCCAAAGGCCCTGGACAGCAGTATCCACCTCCAGCAGAAGAAGGCCTTTCCACCCAGATGTCTCTTCTCCTAGTCTGCCATGGGCCTACAGGCTCTCCATAGCAGACCCTCACTGGCTTCTGAGCTCATGGCTTTAGCTCTTGGCTTGGAAGGGAGAAGAGCCAACAGGGTAGGTTGGGTAGGTTGGTTTGATTAACCCTTGCTCATCCAAAGTTACTCTCAAAACCGTGATGGCTGGAAACAGGCCATGGAGAAAGGTCTGAGGGTCTAGTAGGAGCAGAGAAGGATGTTGAGAGGTAGGAGGACAAAGAAAAAGTCTATTCCAGTCTAGGAGCTATGGAAGCAGGGGTCAAGAAGGGTCTTCCAGACCAGAAACAGTGAGGCCAGATGCTGGGTGAGAGGATCATGGCCAAAGGTATTCATGTTGCAGGACAGTCCAGGTAGGGGGCACAGCCTGGGCAAAGGCAAGAAGGGAGAATGTGAGCCACCTCTCTAACACTCGCTCTCCCAGGAGAGGGAGGTCAGAAGGAACAAAACACAGGAGACCAGTTCCTTGGTTCTTCTCTTCTCTCAAATCTGGGTAGAGGAGGAAAGAGGAGAGATGTGTCCAGGCAGGGGAGACATATATTCCCCCTGAGACACAAAGACACACAGACACCTCACGGGCAGTCACCCAAACACATACACTCCTCCGCAGACATTCCTCAGGTACATATCCCACACACTGTGGCCCAGATACTCTGGCATTCTCTCTTGCCCTACGCCAGGGTCTGAGCCCTGGGGGCCAGGAGCCATTGTGCCCTGCCCTGTCGCAGTTCCTAGGTAGATGTTTGTCTACAAATAACTGCGTGAACAGAGACTGTTTTGTCTACAGACACCAGGGCCACAGCCTGCACTGTGCCAGGGGACACTTCCCTCAGCTAACTCAAGGGAGCACCAGCCATGAACCCAGAGCACCACCCCCAGATGGCTACCCAGTTCATGGATGAGTGCCCGCAGCTCCCTCCTGTGGGCTGGTGGAGGTATCCCGGCCTGTGGGCTGTTCCCAGACATGGAGGGAACAATCTGAGTGGTAGGGTGACCCAGTAAGCATTGAGGAGGCGTCACCAAACCCTGGCCTCCAGCCTTGAGGGAGAGCAGGAGAAGGAAGCCCTCCACCCCCTACCTCAGAACGGAAGGAGCACAGCACCACCCCTAATCATGACAGTACTGTAATAAAGAGGCTAGGGATCAGGCACTCTCTATGTGCTAACTCAGTGGCCCCCAACCTTTGTAGCACCAGGGACCAGGGTTCCTATGAGAATCTAATGCCTGGTGATCTGAAGTGGAGCTGAGGCGGTGATGCTAGCTCTGGGGAGTGGCAGCAAACAGAGATGAAGCTTTCTTGCTCACCTGCTGCTCACCTCCTGCTGTGTGTCCTGGTTCCTAATAGGCCATGGACTGGTACCGGTCCGCAGCCTGGGGGTTGGGGACCTTGTGCTAACTCATTTACCTCACCAGAAGCCCTATAAGGAAGAACTTGAGCACCCCATTTTATAGATGGGAGTACTGAGGCCCTGAGAAGGGAGGGAATAGGTCACCCAGCAGGTAAAGCTATGGAATGACCTTACTACCATCAGCCTAGGCCCAGCCAGACCTCTCCACGGGTAAGTGCTCCCCTGAAAACAGTCTCCTCAGCCTCATCTTTTGGGCCACCAAAACCCCACAGCTCCGCGATCCCTGTCTACCCTAGGGTGAAGTTACTTACTCCCTGTCTGTGAGGTTCCAAAAGAGGGACTCCAAGGATTCTCACAGAGCCCACGCCAGGTGGGGAGAAGACTGCAGACCTCCCCACCCCACAAACACACACACTCACATCTGGAAAGGCACACAGCCAGAGGTCAGAAGAACAAGCCAATGACTGGGCACCTCGAGCCTCAGGCAGACTATGTGGCCAGCACCTTGCCATCCACACCCATCCCTTTACCTCTCTGGCCTGTTTCCTCCTTCCTGAAATGGGTTGATAGGAGGGTTTGAAGAGATGATGTGAGTGAAGTTTCAGCACACACCTGGCCGGGAGTGCCTGCCCCTGGAGTTCTGACTGGCTACCTCAGTTTCCCCTACCAGACGATGAGTTAGATGCAAAGGAGCCCCAAATCCTTGCTGGTGTGAACTTCAGGGCAGAGCAGGGTGCTCCTGGCAGCAGCACCTGTCACACAGAGATACCTGGCAGGGGCTTTGGCACTAAGGGGACTGGGGTGAAATAAAGAAGGCTTGCCTTCCTGAGTGAGCCAAACGACCTCCGCCACCTACCATTGACCCGAGTCTCTAAGCACAGGCTGTGAGGCCTGAATGGTCCCCATTCCCATGAGCTGAGAAGAGATGAACTCCAGAGCGGGGCAAGACCCTTTGGGGAGCTGGGGCATAGGCGGGGTGTCAAGAGCATTTCT